CGACATATTCGGGGTTCGCCTTGACCAGGTTCGTGTCCCAGGCGTTCTTGGAGATGCGCAGGTTATCGTAGCATTGTTCCTTCCCGGTCAGCCTTTGGTGTGTTGTCAGACATGCGCCGTACCTACCTTTTTCGTGCTCTGTCCGTAGACGTGGCCTGCAGAGAGTGAGTACGAGTGCAGATAGGTAGGCCGAGCAGAGTCGTGCGTATAGTATGGAGGGGGGGGAGGAGGGGAGGAGTGGGACTCACGGTACTTGGAAGCTCTCACGAAGCGGCCGGCCATGCTCCAATTGTATTGCTCGCTCCTGTGCTCCTGGATGCGCCTGCTCCAACTGACTTGACCTATCTGTCAACGGTTTTGTCGTCCGACCGGTGCCGATAAGTGCAGATAGGAATGTACTGTGCTGCAGAGTAGTGCCCCTGGGCTTCGCGTGAAGTTCGCAGGTCGCGTGTGGGCGCAGCTGTCGCGGAGGTTTCGCATCCATGGGGCGTTTCATGCAGCGCCATCTTGGCGCGCCGGTACCTTGCGTCACGTGACTGCATTCGTGCATCCATCGACATACGATACCTGTATGGATGTGACATCTGCATGCATGTGGTCGATCAATTGGAAACAGTCACGTTATGCGCCCTCGATCGTCTCTACAGCCCTCTCCACCGTGCCTACAACCCTTTCCACAAACATATCCTCGACGATCCCGTCGTGCCATGTGAACACCAACACCGCGCAGCCATCCCCTCCGGTCACCACGCTGACAGCCAGCGCAGCACCCGTCACGTTCGGGCTCTGGCTGAACGCACACCTGCCGACCTTCCATCTCCACCCCTCTCCCGTCCCTCCCGCCCCCCTGCTCGCCTTCCACCCCCCCACGTTGGACAGTTCCAGCGAGTTGCCGCGCTCTTTGCCCACTTGCTCCGTGAAGAACTTGTGCATGTCCGAGACATAGCGCAGGAGGCCGATGACGCTGTTGCTGCCTTTCTTGTCGAGCTCTGTCTGGATTGCCGCGCGGACCGTGCGCGCCGTGTCCCAGGAGATGCTCTCGTTCTCGGCCTCACGCCCATGAACCAAAGTGTACTCCGACACTCCATTCACGAACTCATCGTCCAGCGACCCGCCATCCCACCGCATGAAACGCCTCAAGCTGATCGGCCCACTGATTCGGACCCTCGAGTACTCCTGTTCGTCTAGGTTCGCGAGTGTGGCTGAAGCGAGGAGACTTTGCAACGTTCCCTGCATCGTTGTCCTGTTCTTGCGACCGAGTTCAAGGACTCGTTTTGTGGTAGATGGCGAAAGCACGAGAGAACGGACTTTGCACTTCGCCGCTAGAGGCTCACTGGTCACGGGAGCGCCGGTCCAGAGTTTGGCGGGTCGCGGATTGAACCAGCTGGGCAAGATGGAGCCCAGGAGTGCTTTGATGAGGAAAAGCGTTGAAATAGGGAGAGGGTGTAGATCGTCTAATGCTGGTATGAGCGTCGTTTGGGAAGACTCTACAACGTAGTCGACGGCGTCAGTAGCAGATTGCGTTGCAGAAGCGACCTTCAGCGCGGCCAGAAACGCGCCATGGAAGACGAGCGCTGACGAGCCGTCCGCGAGCGCGTGGTGGAAGACCCATACTGCCGTGAATGTCGACGAATCCCCGGGCGCGTGCAGCACGATGAGTCGCCAGAATGGTTTCGTGCCTAGCTCATCTTTGAAGTTGCGGTTATGCTGCTCCTGTAGTGTCAGCTCAAGCTCTTCGTCCCTGCCATCGCCTTTGAACCCCTTCTCTCGTTCCACAAATAACACGCATGTCTTCAAATCGATACAAGGCAGACGTGCAAAGTAGACATCTGGGTGCGATTTGTCTTCGTTGACGGGGACAGCGCTGAGAATAGAATGCCGCGCAATCACCGTGCGCAGAGACTGGTAGACGAGAGGTTTGAGTGGGGTGGATAAGGAGGTGTCAGTGTATGTGTATGTCGCTGCAAAGCTGACATTCCTGAAGAATCCAAGGTGATGGCGTGTGGTGGAGAATGTTTCGGCGCGACCTAGAGTTTGTTGTCACCACGAGGCCTTCGGAAGCGCCGGCATCGTAGGCAACCTACCACAAGCCCGTAACCTCTCGAAGGTTGTAATGTCAGGCATCGCATATCCTTTCCCTCCCGGGTGTGCTATACTATATTCTAACGATGAAAAGGCTTAAAATGGGACATGCGATATCAGACCAAGAACCACGAGTATGGCAAGGTAGTTGGAGTAAAAACTCCTAGGGGTAGTGATAAGGCGGGAGCGTAACTCTGGTCCAGGTGAAGTATACCAAGGTAGTGTAGGTATAAGTTGCCCTTGTAGGGCAAGTTCAATGGAGGTGCGGTGAAGTGCCCTCGGACCGACTTGCCCCGCGTCGTTCTCACTCCGCCTTTCCATATCATTATTGCTACGTTGCTCCGAGTACAGCGCAAGGAGTGCACCCGGTTGATTCTGTAACAGTAATATGTATGAAATCAACCGCCGCACAATGTCCGAGCGCGTAAGAGTGTGATTGCAACTACAGCTGCATGTGCGACGTCTTCTATGCTGTGAACAGCTGACTTTGACTGCATGCATGTCAGCAACGCATACGGGTTGATGTCCTTGGGCGCTTGAAGCTGCAACACAGTACCTTACAGCTGGATCCTCCACAATTGGACAATCACCTGTGAAGGATCCAGGGTTGCTCGGCCGGAAACCGATCGTACACCACTCGTATGGCTACTATCCCTACGGCCATACCACACTCCCAATTGCATCGAGATGCAGTAAGAAACAGCTCTTCGGAATTGTATACGGGCTTAGGATGCGGACTATGCGTGTCAAACAGACGCTTGGTGGGGGAAGACCGGCTCATAAGCGACCCGCTTCTTCAACAAAGGACTTCCCTTGACACATGTCAGTCCTTTTCACGACGAATGAATCAAACCTCGGGAGTTCCCTGGAAACTTGATTCTCCCTGCGCCAATTGGGAAACGATCTGATTCTCAGAATCGGTCAAACACTCCATCCAAATTTCTCAGCCTTGCGCGCATGTTGCGACTCCGCCATCATGGATTCGGGGCTGTCTACTCGCATGATTAACTCCCTCGAAGACCTTCTCCCCAGATTCTCTGCCGCAGATCCACCAGAGAGATACAATTCAGATATATCCATTGACCTCTCTAACGCCCAGAACGAAGTCCTCCGCCCTGAACTACTGGAATTCTTCAGGACGAACATCGAAGACAAAGTTACAGAAAAGGCACGACGTTCCTAAATTTAGTCCTGTCTATACTGACAGTCGAAGGTCTTCGCTCTACCGGCTGCGAATGGTGGCGACCCGGTGCTGCGCGAAGCTTTGGCATCGTTCTTCAACCAATACTTTTCGCCAATTCATGAAGTCATCTCAGAGCATATTGTCCTCACAGCGGGGGCGAGTGATGCGATCGAGAACGTGATACACGCGGTATGCGACGATGATGACAGTGTTATAATCCCTGGACCATACTGGTGTTAGTGACTAGGCATTGAAAGCGTCCATCACTTCAACTGCTAACAATGCACAAGATGGGTACGAATCGATCTTGAAAGCCAGAGCCAATGTCAAGGTTGTGGTCGCCCACCCGCCTACCTACCAAAACTACGACAACTATTTGCTGCCTTCGCTGCAAGCTGCATACGATTTCTCTGCCGACAAATCAAAGATCAAGGCAATCCTGATGTGCAATCCCAACAATCCTATATCCAGATGCTATACCCGGAAATCGATAGTGGAATGCATGGAATTCTGTCAAGAGCGAGGTCTTCATCTTATATCGGATGAAATCTTCGCCATCTCGTCACTCAATGGCACGCCGACCGGAAGTCCCCCATTTGTTTCTGCATTGTCGTTGACAGAACCATTGGTACCGGAAGGCGCCGTCAAGATTGACCCTAGTCGTGTGCATGTTGTATGGAGTGCCAGTAAGCTATTTGGATCGAGCGGCTTCCGGGTTGTAAGTCGGAGTACTTTCCATCTCCTAGCAAGGCCTAACCTTTCGCAGGGTTGCTTGATCTCACAGCAGAATCCACAGCTCGTCGCCGCTATGAGCTTGTTGACAACCAGCCACGTCAACAACGTCGCATCACTATACCTCTCATCCCTCCTGACCTGGTCACAGCTACCTACGCTCATTGCTCTAGACTCCGAACGATTATCAGCCTCATACCGCCTTCTTGCAACTACTCTGCAGCAATGGAGGATCGACTTCATCACACCCACTCACGGCATTTTTGTGTTTGCCAAGGTCGCCAGAAATGCGAAGACTGTCGAAGACGAGATTGAATTCTACGATCGGCTGGCCGTGCATGGTTTGCGCGTTGGCCCGGGGCGATTGTATAGAGGTGTTGAGAGGGACTTTGGGTGGGCGAGGATACGATTTTCTGTTTCGCAAGGAGTCATGGAGGAGGCCTTGGGAAAGCTTTCGACGTTTTTAGCGGTGGAGTTTTGAGTTTCAACTATTAGTTCTTCCGATATTTACGCTTCGGCACGTTTTATGACGTTGCGATTGGAAACGCTTAAGGCACGGTGAATCTAATACGGCCTATCCATACTCTGCCGTTGTTCGTTTTTCTAGGACAAGGTATTGTCTTGGTATATCCGGCGTTGTGGTGCGTTGTTATCCGCCCCGTCGCTGACGATCAGTTTGTTAATAAGTCTTGACATTAGAACGGATGGATAGGTGTTCACAAGTTCCTTCAGATATGCTATTTTCTACTCCACTATACATAGTGTAGTCAGCTGTTGCATCTTCTCCTTCCTCATTCGCTCGTATTTGCTGCAACACGGAGTGGGGCGCTTACCCCTGACATAATTAACCCAGCCTTCGCTGTTACACCGCTTCATCTAAGACCCAACTTTGATTTATTGTTTGCGCTGAGCAAAAGTGTCTCTATATAAATTAAATTACAAGCAAGATGTTCATTCAACCAAAGTAACTTGGGATCAAGCCATTCAGATCATAGATTTGAAAGCCCGCATGGCTAAGTGGTATAGCGTCTCACTAGTAACTTCCTGTACATGAGAAGATCGGCGGTTCGATTCCGCCTGTGGGCATCACGCATTTCTTTTTTTGCTATTTTTGGTTGTATCCAAGATGCCACCTTGTTTTTGCGTTCTGTGTGGTCGTCTATCTAACTAACACCTGCCCGAAGACGGTGAAGTGACCCGTGTTTCATTGGACGGACGACTAGCCATTATGTACGATGGGTTATGGGTATAATGGGATGGATGGATACTATATTTCCCCTGGGTTGGGAACATAGAAGGATCTTGCCACTCGGACCTTTGCAACCCTTCAAGTCCAAGGAGTGCCGGAATTTCGTCGTGTCGTTTTATCGGAGAATGACGGCCAGTTTCCTTCCGCATCCTCTTCCTCTTCCCATCATCACGCGAAAGTATTAGCAGAATGCCTTCTATACATGGAATTCTACCCATAGCTCAGAACTCAGGTGAATGATTCCAGTCTCTTCACCGGTGTGATCGCGCTATCAACACTGATTAATTTACCTGCATCCCGAAGTACGGCCGGTCGAGGAAGCTCAGTCGTCGATCCTTCCATCGTCATTCCGACGGTTACTGTCTGGATCAAAGGAGCAGGCTCCTCCCTAAGTGTCTGGTTTGACATGAGGGAGGTGAGGTTCTTTTCGGCTTGGGCCGAACCCATGGTCAGCCAATTGATAATAAGAACACCCCAGCTCACTGGCTTATCCTTAGCAATTAATCTAAAATGTAACATGATAAACATACCGTCGAGGGTGCAAATTGTGAGACAGATCCATCCCAACTCTCTTCCTTTCATGATATAGAACTGGGCCATGTTACCTACGGTGGGTAACATGACCAGAGAGCTTCCAATCAAACACTTCCACAACAGAGTCTTGATATTCTTATTCATCGCCCTCTTCTGCTCATTCGAGTACTGAATCGTACTGCCTCTCCCAACACCCCCCATTCCGCACCTCAGCCGCTTCGCCAGCTTCTCGCCAAACAGACCGCTGAGCGAGAGTAGTCCATGATGCGACAGGACAGGTTTTAACAGCCAGATAAACAGACCCGTAAGCAGGAAGTTCACGCCAATGTCGAAGCACATCAATGGAAAAGAGACTTTGAGTGGGAGACCGATGCGGCAACGGCCGTCGAGGCGGGAGAGCTCGACGATGGGGGTCAGGTATCCGACTACAGCAATGCTTCCGAACCCACCGCAGATCAGGAACATGAAGGTCAACCAAACGGCATCTTTGAAGCGCGGTACGAAGGGTGCTCGAACGATACGGGCACGTTCGAGGAGGAACATGTATCTAAGTTGCGTGTTAGCTATCTGCGTAGATCAAAACAGCCGCATCTGTGTGTCAAGTTGGACACACGTGTACTTACATTGCTAATTTGTTGCTCGTGTAGAAGACCAGGCATATCATCGCCGCCGAGTAGCATAATTTATGTGTCCTTAGGCTCTGCCCAGTATCCACAACAGTGGTGCAGAAAATGAACGAGAGGGCAAAACAAAAGAGGAAGACAACGAGGATGGATGTCAAATTGCCCTTTCGGAACACGTTGTTCTTTAGAGTCCTCGCGCGCAGTCCTATATTACAAATTAGACTTCGGGGTGAATTCAATGAACACGGTTGCATTATGCTAGCATGCTAGTAGTGCAGGCAAAGGAATAAGGTGAAGGTGATGAAGACGTACCAAACTCAAAGGCCAACACAATTGCACAAAACAGCGACACTACTGCGAATATAGTACGAGTCTGCTCAGTCTCTCCTGGCACAAATGTCTCGCCGGTCGTTGGGTCCGTAATAATGGTACGATCACTGCGCGCCGCTACTGCAAGCCTCCCATCGACAACTTCGAGGGATTCAACTTTTTTGAGCAAAGGCATCGCAGAAGCAGACAGGCTGTTGAACATCATAAAAATGCAGGTTGGAAATCCCACTCTCATCAGTGTTCAAGGAATTCGTGGTCGGATGGCAGAAGAAAAATGTCGCAAGCGGTATGACGAAGTGAAATGGGTCACAGGGGCACATACTCACCCTGTGGCAGTCTGACTGCTAGGTGGTTTAACCCTTCATGTTTTGGTGTGTGAAGGGTGTCGATTAACTTTAGTGGTGCGTCAGGATGGCGTTGTCCGTTGCGGATCTCGTCCCCGCGGAGTTGACACCGAATGGACTATAGATCGGGGGAACTGTAGTTCATACACGTGCTCGACACATCGGGACCCCCTAATTACCGCAAAAGATTTTGATTCATGGCGGTTTGCTATCCCGGTCGCACTGTGTTGTGCGTGAGTCTAGCGACGCGGAAGGTGTAGCGGCGCTAATATACGATCTTAGCTGAATAATCTTCCACGGTCGTCACTTGAATAGTCTAGAAGGTGCATGCGCAGGTTTATCGAGATGCCATATAAAGCTGACGATGAAGATAGGTACGCGCAGTCAGACGTCGAACATGCGAACGCGTCCTGATCTCTCAGAACCTCGGCAGGATCAGTTCCGTGGGTGAAGTTGAATGTGAGTCGACTTTTGATACCAAGAGCTAAATGCCTCGAGATTAGACACTTACCTATTTCTGGCATCGAAACGGGCGATGCCAACCGCCCGAAACCTGCGCAGTATCGATGTGCCGACCGAAGATGGGATGTCAGTGTTGTATGATCAATCGTGTACGAAGTACAGGGGGGATGAGATCGGCGACGGGGAACCACGGTGCCGGGTAACTCTATCGTACAATAGCCTTCCCCAGCAAACTCATCAGGTGCTTCTCTTGGCACAGGATGCGCTAGAGCCCAGGATGGTAAGGCCTGAGGTCTACTTGTCATCTTGTAGAGTGGGGTCGGCGTTGTGTACACGCCATCTTCATATGACTGCACCGTTTGCGCCAGGCCGTATCGTCTAGGCACGTATGTCTTCCTCAGCATCCCAACCTCAAGGGTCGGAGCGTCCACCCAGAGTGCCTATTCCACGGCTTAAGAGGCCGCTTGCCGACGAAGCGCCTCACAGAACAGTTCGGTCAAAAAATACACATAGGGTCTCGAAAGCGTGCTTGAGCTGTCGAGCGCGTAAAGTACGATGCGATGGAGCAAAACCGTTGTGTCAGACCTGCGTGGACAATAATGAGCGACCGTGCATATACACAGAAAATCGAAGAGACCGCTTTAAGACGTCAGCTGATTGTTCTCTATGAAACAGCCGAGGATACTGACTTCTACCAGCGCCACAGAGCAAAACCAAGCTATGGTTGAATTCCTTACTGACCTTAGGGTCTCCGCTACGGAAGAGACGAAACTACAAATAGACGACCTTTTAGAACGAGTATGTTGAAGGCTGCAAAGTGACTGCATCTTTTTATGCGGAGTAGACTGACCGCAAAAAGATCGTACCCGATGCACCTGTTGCCGCTTCTACGTTAGGAAGGTCTTCCGATCCTGGCGAGATACCTGGCGAGATACCTGGCGAAGCCAATGTGTCTGCTGAAATTGGCTCAAACGATGAGACGGATATAGTGGACGAGGACGTGTTTGAAGACCAAGAGTCTCGAGCAACTGGCTTTGTTGGCAAGGGCTCTGAGGTCCAATGGTTACGACGTGTGCGAAGTGAGCAGGAGCGCCATGGAGGAGATTCATCCCAAACCGATGGTCCATATGGTCCTCCCGGCACCAGTATGAAAGCGGCTTCACGGCGCATAGAGGCTCGGCAAAAGCGCAAACAGCAAGAGCGTAGTCTCCCCGCCCGAGCCAGTGCCTCTACATATTACCTGGACGTCGACAGCATAGAGGTGGACAATAATGTGGATCCGTTCGAACTGCCAACAACCGCGGACGCTCATATTCTCCTGAACCATTACATGGACACAGTGCAAGAGGCATTTCCCGTACTGTCAAAACAAACCTTTACGGCTCAATTTTGCCAATATTATGCGTCTGTATCTCAGGGAACATCTGTTACCAGACCACACAAGTGGCTAGCGATATTGAACCTTGTTTTTGCGATTGGAAGCAAACATTCAGAACTGATGCAAGCGGATTGGAAAGTGGTCGGTCAGAGCCATCTCGTCTATCAATCTCGAGCGCAGATTTTGGGCCTAAGTGGGTCCTCTCTGGTCTCCCCTCCTGACCTCATGCAGACCCAGATTACTGCCCTTCTTGCCTTCTACTTCTTCTCTGTCGGCCACATCAACAGGTACGTCTATTCCTGTCTCTTCGTTGCTTCTCGGTACTAACATCTTATGAAGAGCCTGGGTTCTCATGGGCACTGCTCTGCGTTTTGCGCACGCTCTCGGACTGCACGTTCGCAACGAAGATCCAACCACCTCTATCACTAAGAAGGAGACTCTGGTGCATATGTGGTGGGCACTTTACTCTCTAGAGGGGTCTCTGAGTGCGATCGTTGGTCGGCCAAGTTTTGTCTGTGAAGACTATTGCTCCACACCTCTACCGCTGTCGTTAGGGATAGACCAACTTTCGGACGAAAAATCGGCATCTCGGCGTGATGAGCAATCCACAAGAGCCAGAATCGACCAGGAAGCTCCTGATGTCAGTTCAACGATCCCTGAAGCCTCAAATTCTGGCTCGTTCTTAAAAAACCTGGCACTTCTCAGCATGATCATGCAGAAGGCCATGGTTAATCTATATGCTGCTAAAGTTGTCGCGCACTCCTGGAAGGATCTGCAAGAAGAAATAAAGGGCTTACTTGACCAACTTCAAAAATGGTCAGCATCACTCCCCTCGGGCTTGAACTTTTTTAGGCCGAACGATGACGTTGATTTTCAACACGAACGCTTAGTCCTTGAAACGCATTACATTAGAACGAAAATACTCATCACCCGGCCATGCCTGTGTAGACTCGACAGCCGTATCGAGAACCAGTCAAAGGCTTCTGACAACTTCAACAAAAAGACAGCTCGGATCTGCGTTGATACTGCCAAAACGATGTCGGCTCTCTTGCCCAGTTCTTTTAACACGGTTTACCTGTATCGAACTGGGTCTTGGTGGTCGATGGTCCCTAGTATCATGCAAGCTCTTATAGTTTTGCTCTTAGAGCTGTCTTATGACACGGTAC